ATGACCTCAGGCCAAGAATGCAGTAAGTTGACCTGATGTTGTGAGGTCACAGTCCATCCAGGGAAGAGCCAGAAGATGACCAGGACCATCCCGGGAGGGGCTGGAAAGCTGCCTCATGTGTGTGGCCCTGTGCTGCATCTATGCATTCCTCACTCACCTCTACAACTCTCATGGCACAAGGGAGGAAATGGGGGTGCAGAGGCTAAGGAACATGCCCAAAGCCCTACAGCTGGTGTATTAGTTACCTACTACTGTGTAATAAATTGCCCCAAAACTTAGATGTGTAAAACAACAAAGACATCTCACTCATGGTTCCTGTGGGTCTGGAATCCAGGAGAGGCTGGGCTGGGTGGTCTGCCTCAGGCTCTCGTGAAGTTGCCATGAAGATGCAGCCAGAGCTGAGTCATCAAAGGCTAGAGCAGGCCGGGAAGATGCACTTCCTAAAAGGTTCATTCCCACAATCCCACAGCTATGGGCTGGAGGCCTCAGTCCCTCACCACATGGGCATCTTCAAAGGGGTGTGTTTTTTCAAGCCCCGACAGCTGGCTTTCCCCAGAGCGAGTGGCCCAAGAGAAAGAGAACACAGGCAACATAGAAGCCGCCGCGTCTTTATGACCTAACCTCAGAAGTGACACACCATCACTTCCAACACATCTGCTGGTCACACACAACAACCCTGATAGAAAGAGATCGGGTGTGCTTTGGGAGGCTGAGGCAGGAGCACTGCTTGAGGCCAGGTGTTTGAGACCAGCCTGGGCAACAAAGTGAGACCCTGTCTCTAACAACAACAAAAACTTTAAATAAAATGTTTTACAAAGTGAAACAAGGTTACACAAGGGTATGAAGGTTACACAGGAGGCGTCATTACTGGGGGTCCCCTTCAAGCTAGTTGAGGACAGAGCCAGGATTCCAGTCTCAGGCAGAGACAGAAAGAAGCAAGAAGCACAGGCCCGGCCTGGTCCCTGCAGGTGTGCACACCAGAAGGCTCTGAGTTTCAAAACCAGGGAAGGAAGGGCTCTCCCAGCAAGGATCCCAAGCTGGTTGGCATTTCTAGACTGACGCTGCAGCTACTCAGTAGCATCTGGAAAGGGGACTAACGGGGAAAATGGGGGGCAGGGAGATCAGGTGAGAGAAAAGGGGGCTCTCAAAAGACAACAGCACTGGCCGGGCGTGGTGGCTCACACCCGTAATCCCAGCACTTTGGGAGAGTGAGGCAGGTGGATCACTTGAGGTCAGGAGTTGGAGACCAGCCTGGCAAACATGATGAAACCCCGTCTCTACTAAAACTACAAAAGTTAGCCAGGCATGGTGGTGGATGCCTGTAATTCCAGCTACTCAGGAGGCTGAGACAGAAGAATCTCTGTCTCTTTTTTTTTTCTTCTCAGGGGAAAGTACGAACGCAGTCCCCCACTACCACAAATTATGCAGTCAAGTTTCCCACATTTGGGGAAATCGCAGGGGTCAGCACATCCGGAGTGCAATGGATAAGCCTCACCCTGGGAAAACCACCTTCGTGATCATAGTATCTCCCCTGCCAGGTAAGTATAGAAGAATCTCTTGAACTCGGGAGGCAGAGGTTGCAGTGAGCCGAGATCGCACCACTGCACTCCCGCCTGGGTGACAAAGGGAGACTCTGTCTCAAAAAAAAAAAAAAAAAAAGCAAAAGAAAAGAAAAAAAAGACAACATGGTCTCCTGTCTGCCTCTGGCCCACAAGGCCCTGGTCACATGTCTGAGGCTCCCAATATACATTTGCTGGGCTGCAGATACGTGGATGGATGGAAGATACAAAGTCATTGAGTGGTTTCCAAGCCACCGGGTAAATATCCTCCCATATAAGGCATGCCAAGAGAGAATCAGACTTGACGGGGAGTCAGGAAACAGAAAGTTGCATGAGATTTTAGGCAAGTAATTTCCCCTCCTCAAACCTCAATTTTCCCTGAGGTAAAATGGGCTGGCTCAACAACTGCTAAAAGTCCCAAAAGTGGAAAATATCCAATGTTGGTAGGAATGTAGAGAAAGGGGCGCCTTCATAAACCAATGATAGGAACATAGTATTTCCTTTAAACCTGAGCAGTGGGAATTCCTGTCCTAGGCCTTTCTCTCTAAAAGGCAGAATAATGGCCTCTCCAAAGATGTTCTCATCTTAATCTCCCAAACCGTGAATGTGTTATTACATGGAGAGATGAATTAATCAGCTGACCTTACAACTGGATAATTATGGCCCAGCATGGTGGCTCAAGCCTGTAATCCCAGCACTTTGGGAGGCAGAAGCAGGAGGATGATTTGAGCCCAGGGATTCAAGACCAGCCTGGGCAACATAGTGAGATCCCATCTCCGTAAAAAACTAACGAAAACTGGGTGCAGACCAGGTGCAGTGGCTCACGCCTGTAATCCCAGCCCTTCGGGAGGCCAAGGAGGGTGGATCATTTGAGGCCAGGAGTTTGAGACCAGCCTGGCCAACATGGTGAAATCCCGTTTATACTAAAAGTACAAAAATTAGCCAGGTACAGTGACAAAAATTGAGCCCAGGGGTTCAAGATCAGCCTAGGTAACACAGTGAGATCCCATCTCTTTAAAAAACAAAGAAAAACTGCCACAGACCAGGCACAATGGCTCATACCTGTAATCCCAGCACTTTGGGAGGCCGAGGCAGGTGGATCACTTGAGGCCAGGAATTCGAGACTAGCCTGGCCAACATGGTGAAACCCCGTTTATACGAAAAATACAAAAATTAGCCAGGAACAGTAGCCAGTTACTATGGAGGTTGAGGCAGGAGGATCGCTTGAACCTGGGAGGTGGAGGTTGCAGTGAGCTGAGATGGCACCAGTGCACTCCCGCCTGGACGACAGAGTGAGACTCTGCCTCAAAAAACAAACAAAAACAAACAAGCAAAAACAACAACAACAAAAACTGGGCGTGGTGGCTCACACCAGTAATCCCAGCACTTTGGGAGGCCGAGGCAGGCGCATCACCTGAGGTCGGGAGTTCGAGACCAGCCTGGCTAACATGGTGAAACACCGTCTCTACTTAAAAAAATACAAAAAATTATCGGAGCGTGTTGCTGCATGCCTGTAATTCCAGCTACTCGGGAGGCTGAGGCAGGAGAATCACTTGAACCAGGAGGCGGAGGTTGCAGTGAGCCAGGATCACGCAGCGCTGGACACAGTGAGATCTTCTGTTTTTTTTTTTTTTTTTAAAGGACTGGGCACGTGGTTCGCCTGTAATCCCAACATTCGAGGCTAGGCGGGCGGATCAATTGAGGTCAGGAATTCAAGACCAGCCTAGCCAACATGGTGAAACCCCATCTCTACTAAAAATACAAAAAAGTTAGGCGGGGTAGCCTGCGCCTATAATCCCAGCTACTCAGGAGGCTGAGACCGGGACAATCGCTTGAACCGGGGAGGCAGAAGCTGCAGTGAGCAGAGATCGCACCACTGCACTCCAGCCTGCGCAAGACAGCCAGGCTCCGTCTCAAAAAAACAAACAAACAAAAAACCGAACTGCAAATAGCAAAAGTCTAATCCCATTGAGAAAAAACGTAGGTGACACAAATGTGGTAAAAGGCACAGGGCCAGGCTGGAAGGGAGTACCCGGATGCTCCGGAGCTGTCCAAGACTCCAGGGGCGGAAAAACTGGGCTGAGGAAGTGCCCTTCCTCCACGCTTCTGGTGCCAATGTCCCCTGCTGTGCCCACCCTGGGTTCCTGGCCTGAGCTCAAAACCAACTCCAAGCTAGGGAAGCTCCGAGCCGGGGTGCTTCTAGAGTGCCCAGACCACTCCTCCCCTTCATTTCCCAAGACAGTGAGGGCGCGGCGAGAGGCGAGGTGCGGGACGATAGTCAAGCTGGGTCATAGTGGAATCCACCTGTGTGTGATAGGTAACAGAAGGGAGAGGTGAGGCGCGGTGGGGTCCGCAGGGATGTGGGGGACGCGACAGGGACGACTGGGACGAAACGAGACTAGGTCCGCAGGGGTATAAAGTGAGCAGCGCAGAGGGTTGGGGCGAGGAGGGGTCTACAGGGTTGTGGGGGTCGCGGTGGGGAGCGCTGGGGCGCGGAGGAGTCCGCAATGGTGCAGTGGCTCGGCCGGGAGCATTGGGGCGACGCGGCGCTCCGCGGGGGTGGCGGGGAGCGTCGTGGGGAGACGGGATCCGCAGGGGTGTGAGGGCGCGGCAGGGAGCATAGCGGGGTGTTCAAGGTTGTAGGGGTTGTGGCGAGGAGGGTTGGCGCAAGGCAAGCCCGCAGAGGTGTGGGGGGCGTGGCGGGGAGCGCTGGGGCGAGACGGGGTCCGCGGGGGTTTGGGTGACGACGCGGTGGGAAGGGTTGGGGCGAGAAGGGACCCGCAGAGGTGTGAGGGGCGTGAATAGGCGGCGTTGGTCCCCCAGCTCCCCACGCTCGCGGGGGACCGCGCAGCCTCGAGCTCTGCGACCAGGGCCGCGCGGGTTAACTGGAGAGGACAACGCGCGCCCCTATTGCTCAGCCGCGGCGCGTGCCTATCCTGCGGTGATCCCAATTGGCCCGACAGAGGCCCGCCCCCAGAATCCCTTCCCACAGTAGGCGTGGCCCCGCTCCCAGAGTGGCGCGTCAGCGCGGTCTCAGAGACTGGGCTGCGGGGCGGGGCCGGATCGGTCGAGATCGTCCCTGCTGATGACCGTCTCCCGTGCCCACGCCCCAAACGCTGTCTCTGGCCTGGGTGTGCTCGGAGCCCACGAGGTGCGGAGGCTTGGACGGCGAAAGGAACCTGGCTGAGATCTGGGTCTTGAACCCGCGGGCTCGGCCCAGCATCCCACCAGCAGCGTGCGCCCACAGGTGACTCCTGGCGGGGCGCGGTCTGCGCGATCGCAGGCGTCGGGTCTCATCTCCCGTTCACACACGGGACCAAACAGGCCACCCCCATCAGGTGGCTGAGAGGATGCACCTCCAACTCCATCCCTCCCCACATGCCCAACCCCCCAACCCATGAGTCAGGCAGGTACCTGGGCTTCCCCCTTCAGCGGACGCCCATGCCGCGGGCAGGCCTGCCCCTCACGCCGCAGTCAGGTCGCCCTGCATCCTTCTTTGTAAAACCCATAGCTGTAGAGGGAGCGGAATAGTGGGGCAGGGCTGGAAGTCCAGCGGGAGTGAGTAGTGGGGAATGATGGTGGCCAAGGTCACACAAGGCAGTGAATTCACTTCATATCACAGAACGGCTCACGTAAGATAGTTACTTTTGTTATGTATTTTACCACAATTTTTAAAAAGGAAACCAAAACCCACCAAGAGTGCTTCCACCACACCTCAACTAAAATCCTCCTGCAGCAGCTCCCCAGCCCAGGTCACTCTCACCCTGACCCCGGGCCCCTCTCCCACCACCCAGGGCTAGCCAACCATCTCGGCCAGTCCCTCCCTGAGCCTCCAGCCAGGGAGGTGGGCGCTGGTCAGTGAATGGGGCAGGCCAGGTCCAAAGGCTGGCCCAGGGCTCACCAGCTCTGGGACCGGGTGCCCCGTCTGAGGTGGGGATGACCAACAGGCCAGCTCTGGGTTTTAGCTGAGGACGGGCACATCAAGCACTGACAGCCAGCAAGCTGGGCACAGGAGCTGTTCAGCCTCTAACACATCGGCTGAGAACCTCACCTGCCTCTCCCTGCCTGTGAGCCCCGGCAGACAGCTCCTCTCCCAGGTCCAGCACAGGCAGGCGCTGGGCAGCCACTTCGTGAGGGGTGCGTGGGTGTCAGGGAAGAGGTGGGTCTCCCTGCACCCCACCTCTCAGGAGGTCAGGATCCACATCCGTCGCCTGCTTTCCTGGGCTTCCCCTGGGGCTTGTGGGCGGAGATGAACCCCTTGTGCCTTGCCCCAGGCCCTCCCTCACTCAGGCAAGGCCCTGCCTGGCAGGTGGTTCTTCCCTGGCTGTTCCCTTCCAACAGGCGGGGCCCCGATCATCCTACTGCTTTGGACCTGGAGACATTTCCTTAACTGGGCTTTGCGGCAGAGGGAAGAGAAGAGTGGCAGAGCCAGGCACATACCTCCTGTACCCAGGACAGCACCCGCAAGCAAGGGGGAAGGGGTCACCCACCCCAGAACCCAAATGGAGAGAAAGTCAAGACAACCACCCCTGACCTAGGGTTGCACCAACCCCTGATGTCTGACCCCACTGTGGCTATCCTTAGAGCCAGGAGGGCTCCAGAAGCCCACCCGCCTCAAAGCTGTTCAGGGAGCCTCACGGCCTGTTTGCAACATGGGTGTGTGCCAAGGCCAAGGGGACACAGAAGATGGCAGGATGACACTAATGGGGTTAGCAGGGCACACTGGTGCCTCCCACACTGCTCTCCAGCACCAGGCAGGGTCACCACAGCTGACAAGCACCAGGCCTGGGGATGGGTGAGGAGACAGGGTTGTTGAGAAGGGGAAATGGAAAGCTAGTCATCCGTGGCACTCAGGGCTGGGTGGGCCAGGGAAAAGAGGGCGGAGTCCTGGACCCAGCCTCCCTCCTGGAGGTCAGAGTAGAGCACCTGGCACTCTGCCCTGGCCCAGAACTAGGCTGTGGGCTCCACGCTGCACACCCAACTCAGGTGCAGACAGCAGACCCCTGACTGTTCACAATCATTGTGCCCTGCCCCCTTCCTGCCCACTCTCTGCCCCTAGCCCACGGTGACTTCACCCCCACGGTGCCAGCCACTGACTGCCTGCCCCTCCCTCCCACAGTGATATTTTCCTGGGATCTGCAGGTCTCAGGTCTACCTGATGCAGACAGGCCCTGACCCCCACTGGGGCCCAAGGCCCAGGCTGAACTACAGCCCAGCCATCCCACCCCAGGCCACGAATGCCTTCCCCAAGAAGGCAACCAAGGACGGTGCCACGTGCAAGCACAAGCAAAACCCGGAGCCAAGGTGGGTCCTGCTGGGTGCACATTTATCCCAGCCACCGCCTCCAGGACGGCAGCAAAGGCCCTGGGCGTCATTCCAGCAGGGCTCCCGACTCACTCCCTGGAGACCAGCTCCCCAACCACTCAGCCCTGATGGCATCCAGCTGCGGCTGGGCGTCCTCTCAGCCGAAGTCCTTGTCACTGCCTGGCTGCCTCCGCCTGCCACACAAGCTCACCCGAGATGTAGGTGGCCTGGACGTGAAGGGAGTCATCGAGCACCACGAAGTCTGGGACAGAGCCGGGCAGTGAGTAGGGGCAGGAGTGGGGCTGCCCACCTACTCCCCAACAACCCGACGCTGGTGGGGAAACCAAGGCACAGGGATACAACCGGTGCAGGACACCGTGACCCATCACAGATGGATAGAGGTGCTGGACAATGCTCCCTGCAACCCCTTGCCTGGCCTTGTCTGCAACACTAGAAAGCTTGGCCTGATGGCAACACGGGGCTACAACTGAGGCTGGCAGCCGGCAGCCCACCTGAGAGGAGGGAGCTAGGGAGGACCCACCCTTCCTGACCCTGTCCAGGCCACCTCAGGACAACAGAGACTACAGGCAAGGCCAGGCTGCCCAATAACCCTGCGATGCGCCCTCACCTGCGTCAGCACCAAAGTCCAGGGTCCCCTTACTCTTCTCCAGCCCCAGCAACTGGGCGGGGTGCAGGGATGCAGCCTCCAGGGCCGACTCCACGCTGCAGCCTGCTTGGGGGACACACCTGGGTGACGGTCCCCAAGCCCATGTGGCTTTGTCAACAGCCCTCCACCACCCCAGCACTCTGTCTCAGGAACTCTGCAGCAGGCTAACAAGGATCCCGCTGGCCTGCCTGTCACCCTGGGCCCGAGTCACCAAGTACACACTGGCCAGGAGCTCCTGTGGGCAGGGCCTGGGCTACACTCCGGGCACCCAGTCCAGCCCTTGGAGACCCGCCAGTCACAGACCACCTAAACCCGCACCCGTGCTGCTCACTGACCTGTGGCCTGCAGGAAGTGCCGGACACAGACGTCCATTGGGGCTATGCTGCCGCTCAGCGTCTTGGTGCCTTGAGAGCAGAGAGGGCAGGCTCTGGGGGGTCGTGGGCCACCTGGCACGCGGGCTGGGACCTGGGACCCAGTGGGTCAGGGCGCTCACCTGCCACATAGGCCGTCAGACCGTCCACTTCCACTTCCTGCTGTCCCAGCGTGTGCCGGCCGTTGCCCAGGCCCAAGGCAGGGATGGCATCAGTGACCAGCACCAGCCCTAGGGGAGAAGAGGCTCAGAACCTGCTGGCCCACTCATCCTGCCTGCCCCGCCCACCTGACAGAGCTTACCCTGGGGGTGGGCGCGGTGGGCGATCCGCAGGGCAGCGGGGTTGGTGTGCGTGCCATCCGCAATCATTCCGTAGAAGATGCAGCGGCCCGCGGGCAGCCGGTCACTAGTCAGGAGCCCCACGATGCCTGGGTCGCGGTGGTGGAACTGGGCAGGGTCGGGGGAAGGGATGGCTGAGCGACAGCAGGGGCTGCTGGGACCCCAGCCCCGCCCCCAGGGCCCCACAGCACTCACAGGCAGCATGGCGTTGAAGAGGTGGGTGATGAAGGTGGCTCCGCTCCACACAGCATCCTCTGCCGCCCGCAGGTCAGCCACTGAGTGCCCTGCGGGACCTGGATTCAGACTTTGCACCTGGCCCAGGTCCCCCAGGCAGGCCCGCCCTGAGCCAGCCCCTCACCTAGGGACACGCAGATGCCACGGGTCGTCAGCTCTCGGATCACCTCGTGGCTATGGCCCAGCTCCGGGGCCAGCGTCACGATGCGGACATTGTCCAGGGGCCCGTAGGTGGCCAACAAGTCCTGGAAGGCATTGGCCTCGAAGGAGCGGAGGTGGGCCTCGGGGTGCGCGCCCCGCTTCTCCCGGCTGATGAAGGGGCCCTCCAGGTGCAGCCCTGGGAGAAGGGAGCAAGTGGCTCCAGCAGGTCCCTGTCCCACCCAGCCCTTATCACCTGCCCTCCCCACCAGCTGGGCATCTGGAGGGGTTGGGGCTGCCAAGAGGTCCCACAGGAGCCTCCCAGGGTGGGGGCGGGGAGGGGGTCAGCCACTCACCGAGGACCCCTGCCCCATGGGGACCACCACTCTTCACAGGGATCTGAGGAACAACCTGGGGGGAACCAGCTGTTAAAGCCCTGTCCCCCACGGCCCATTCCCAGAGGCCACAGCCTAGCCAAGGCCAGAGATCTCGGGTCAGAGTTCAGAGCCCAGCACCCAGCCCAGCCCCAGCCACCTGTCCCCTCACAGGGGTCAGGGAAAGCACAGCTGGCAGAACTGAAGGACCCATGGCAGGAGCAGGAAGAAACGACAGGCGTGTAGGATGCCAGCAGTCCCTGGGCCATGTGGGCAGGCTTGTGGGCACTGAGGGTGGCCCCGGGCACAGCAGCCCAGGGAGCACAGCTGGGAGGCAGGAGGCGGGAGCAGCAGGGACCCTGGGGCAGAGCTCAGTGTGGGCATGGCCAGGGCTCAGCACTCTGTGTGGCCAACACCGTGGCCGGAGCTGGACACCATCAGGAAGACCGAGAGTACCAGGGAAAGAGGGGACACAGGCTCACACCATACATCTCAGAGGCTGACAGGCGGGCAGGCAGTCCAGCACACACTCCCTCTCTCCAACACAGGCATGGGCCCGGGGGACTTCCCAGAGAGAAGAGCTTCAGGTGAAGATGGTAGCTGGACTGTACCCTCCCCTGAACTCCCCACCCCGCACAACAGTAAAACTTTTTTTTCTTTTGGGAATGGAATTTCGCTCTTGTCGCCCAGGCTGGAGTGCAATGGCATGATCTCGGCTCACTGCAACCTCTGCCTGCCGAGTTCAAGCGATTCTCCTGCCTCAGCCTCCCGAGTAGCTGGGATTACAGGTGTGCACCACCATGCTTGGCTAATTTTATTTTATTTTATTTTATTTTATTTTATTTTATTTTATTTTATTTTTTTGAGACGGAGTCTCGCTCTGTCGCCCAGGCTGGAGTGCAGTGGCTGGATCTCAGCTCACTGCAAGCTCCGCCTCCCGGGTCTACGCCATTCTCCTGCCTCAGCCTCCCGAGTAGCTGGGACTACAGGTGCCCGCCACCTCACCGGGCTAGTCTAGTTTTTTGTATTTTTTTGGTAGAGACGGGGTTTCACCGTGTTAGCCAGGCTGGTCTCGATCTCCTGACCTCGTGATCCGCCCGTCTCGGCCTCCCAAAGTGCTGGGATTACAGGCGTGAGCCACCGCGCCTGGCCTAATTTTATATTTTTAGTAGAGACGGGGTTTCACCATGTTAGCCAGGCCAGTCTCAAACTCCTGACCGAGCACCCACCTTGGACTCCCAAAGTGATGGGATTACAGGCATGAGCCACTGCACCCGGCCAACAGTAAGACTTTTAAGAGCCTTAAACCCGAGGGTGGAGGGGGTGGTGCAGAGGACGGGAGGAAGACAGCCAGACTCTGGGGGCTTGGCAAGAGGACATTGGGCAGGTCTTGGGGGATGCACGCAGTGGGGGAAGTGACCCCCACAGGCTCAGGATGGTGCCTTGAGAAGTGGGGTGATGTGGGGACCAACAGAAGAGTACCTGCCCTGAGTGTGCTGGCCGGGCCCCCGGGGAAGTAGAGCAGATGGGCAAGGGTCAGTGTGGGCACAGCGAGAACTCGGGAAATGTGTGTTCTTGAGGCGCTTGGCAGGGTGCCAGCCAGGCCCAGCCCCTCTGAGCACTTCAACACTCTTCTCAGGGAACCCAGCCAGTTCAAGAGAAAGGACCCAGGGACCCCAACCTACGAGTGCCTCCACAAAGCCCCTCCCGCAGGCTGGGTGCCCCCAGCCAGCCTGCTGACACCTGTTCTGAAAGAAAGCACACCACCAAGTTCAGCAGGCCCCGGGCAAGCCTCAAAAAGGAGCCTGAACACAAGAGGACAGGGCCAGGCGGGGAAGCAGAGACCACGAGGAGAGATGGACAGGGAAAAGGGCCATCAAGGACACTCTCCAGCCAATAAGAGGTCTTCTGTTCCTGAAACAAGAATAGGATGGTAGAAAAAGGAACACTGGGCTGGGCACAGTGGCTCATACCTGTAATCCCAGCACTTTGGGAGGCCAAGGTGAACGGATCACCTGAGGTCAGGAGTTCGAGACCAGCCTTGCCAACACGGAGAAACCCCGTCTCTACTAAAAATACAAAAATTGGCCTGGCGCAGTAGCTCACGCCTATAATCCCAGCACTTTGGAAGGCCGAGGTGGGCAGATCACTAGGTCAGGAGATCGAGGCCATCCTGGCTAATATGGTGAAACCTCATCTCTACTAAAAATACAAAAAATTAGCCAGGTGTGGTGGCGGGTGCCTGTAGTCCCAGCTACTCGGGAGGCTGAGGCAGGAGAATGGCTTGAACCCAGGAGGCAGAGGTTGCAGTGAGCCGAGATCACACCACTGCACTCCAGCCTGGGCAACAGAGTGAGACTCCATCTCAAAAAAATAAAAATAAAAATAAAAAAATAAATTAACCAGGCATAGTGGCACATGCCTGAAGTCCCAGCTACTCAGGAGGCTGAGGTAGGAGAATTGCTTGAACCCAGGAGGCAGAGGTTGCAATAAGCCAAGACCGTGCCA